ATTTTTTCCTGACAATTCTTTAATGCCATCAAACATCATGGTATTAAAGAAAAGTTATTGTTGGAAAACAGAAGCAAAATAGAACGAATTTACGCCTACATAAAATAGTTTAGTTCTAAAACTTGAACTAAGTTTTTGAGACAGATTTTCAACAGAATATTTCCACGTGAACAAAGCAATAGAATGATATCATATTTCATGAATAAATCCTACAGAAAAAGATATCAACCTACCCATCTACTAAGAAATCATTCACTTCATCACTCTGTGGTGCTGGTTGATACGTCTTCCAGTTAACAGAACCATAACTATTTGAATTCTTACTATAAATATCTTCACTAAAACTATTATTCATTACTTCTGCATACTGTAAAGTATAATTTGTGACTGGAGATGAATACAGAAATCCGGAACTGTATTCAGTCGTTTGATTTGATTGTAACTGACGTAAATAATTAGGCCAAGATAAATGAGCTGTGGTGATAGGACAAATTGTATATTTATTCTGTTCTTGTGTGATACTACTCTGTGATATTTGTATTTTGGGCGTTACTGGACGTTGTCGTGGTCTTGTTTGAAAGCTTTCAACGGTTGTTACATAAACCTAAAGTAAGAATTCAAGGATTACGTAGTTATTGTTATATCATGACAAAATGATCATGAATTTGAGCAAAGTGAATTCAAATACAAATATTCATGCTATCATTCAATGTTCCTTGCTTGATTATTACTTAACTAAACGTTTTTAGACCCAAAATAATGAATATTGTAAGATGAATTTAGTTAATTTCATCTTGTTTATTCTAAATTTTACATCTACACAAAAGCTCTTTTTAAAGATAACACTTTTAAAAATTCATGCCTTCCAACACTCAGGAGAACAAATTAGTCTACGCCAACCGATTCAAATCCTGATAATCGTTCATCAACGTATGTTGCACAACTTCTGACTGAAGATAATTTACTGTTTTAACAAGAATACGAAATTGTAATTCTTAAGTAAATAAATTTAAAAATCTTCATGTTAACATGATTGTTCATAATCATTGTAGAGTTCTACAAATAGGTAATTGTACTTCCTCCTTTTGATTAGAATATTCCAAAGCAAATTAGGTGATTATAAACAATTCCTTATATTATTGCTCGGGCAGGTCAACTTGATAAATTAACCAATAAACATTTACAGGGAAAAAATTCGTGATATGAAAAATTATTAAAGTAGTCAGAGTTATAAATTGAATACATTGAATTTCACTTATGTAAGAATGAAATGAGTCATCGAATAAGTTAAAGGGTTCTGTAAGAATAAAATGATATCTTAGGGTGATGAGATCTAATCAACAGATTGAAATTTTAGATGAGAAATATGATATAAGGAATTTTTGAGAAATGCGTAAGGAGGGGGTTTGTGAAGTCGCGCCACCGTATACCATTATCTTCAGTGAGCTGATATTTCACAAAAGTCCTCGTGGATTGGTTGAAATTAGATATTAACACCATTGGATCCTGGCTCAGTGGTCTAGTTAGTTAGGCGCTTGGCGCGAGACTGATTGGTCCTGGTTTCGCGTCTCGAGGGGTGCAGGATCATGGATGTGCACTGCTGAGGACTCTCATACTGGGACGAAACGGCCTTCCAGTGCTTCCAGGTTTTTCCATAATGGTCTAACTTCAATTGACTCATCATTTCAATCTGTGAAATAATTAAGGTTAGGGTTTTCCCGAGATTGACGAGGGCATTAGTTTATGATATGTACTGACATGATCAGTTAATTTAGTAATAAAATAATCCTATTGTAAGATTATTCAAAGAAACCAGATTAACATGTTAAAACTAGATACGTTCAGTCAAACTATTTCCAGCGGTTAACATTAGGGAAATCATGTATTATATCCGAATAGTCTTATCAGTACCCATTTTAAACGTTTAATTCCTCTATGTTCATGAAAAACATACTTAGTGCTAATTAATTACATACGCTTTTGATAAATGATATACATATTTTATAAATAATCTACCCAATTTAATCTAGCAATTTTTAATGAAACTAAACAAATATACTACCAAAGTCTCGATATCATTTCTATCTCACACACACACACACTCAGCTTCTAGGTATATGTTCTTCCGAAAACGTTTTAATCGAAATTGATTATTGAGATCTTTTTTAACTAGAATTAAAAGCTAAAAAAATTAGAAGTATATAAAAGGAAACTAGTACATTGAGGAGTAAGTTATTAATTTCGATATTCATCTTTAGCTGACTTCAATTTTATACATGATGATGAACTTCTGACTGTAATGTTTTACTTTTAGAAGAAACTTAGGCACGTACAGGATATGTTTACAATAAATCAGCTGTGTTTAACTTAATTGCAACGGCTAAAGAAATAATTTCAACAATGGAAGTAAACTAGGACTTCAATATATAACATGTAATCTCTTTTGTAGTGAATTTGGATAGTGTCTCGTTGAGCATTACTGGACATAGTTTTTAATCCAGTTAAGATCTATCAGCTAGGTGTAGCTGGAATCTGGTATTATTGTTCAAAACAGGACACAAACCCAACACTTTTCGCCTCAAATGCCTAAAACATTACCCTTTGAGCTACTAACCTCAAATAACAATTATCTTGTGCAACGGGAGTGAATTATTCGTCATTCAAAAGACTTTAAATATGAACATCAACACATATTCAAGTACAGTCATCTGAATAGTCGCAAATAGGGCAAACCGCGCATCCTGGGCCAGACTTCTTGATATTATTCAATTTTGCCAGAAAAATTATAATTCTATGGCGGTATGAATGCAATCCACTCAAAACGAACATATTCCAATACAGATTGACCAATGACAGTCCTTAAAATCAATAACAAGAATCTATCATCCGTTAAATTATTGATCTCATTAAACAATTTTAGCATTAGAGATTCTTAAAAACTTTTCAATCTTTAATCTGCCTTGTTAGCTTATTTTATTTGAGCAACCTCTAAAACCCCGGAACACTGAACAGTCGTTTTGTCCCAGTATATAAGTAGTGGTAACTCACAATCCCATCATTGGTCATATTTAATGCCTTCAAGTGACATGATAGTATCCCATGATTAATTGTTTCAATTATGGTCAATTGTCAATATTGCACGACCATCATCCATTTTAATGAATACTTTTAGTCTTACACGTTATGAAATTAAGCTTAGCTGATCATGAATTAAATCAAAATTCATAATTTACTCACCAATAATTCTGATTTACTTGAACACATTTTTTCATCGTTTACGGAAATATTTATCGGTTGACTGAAGTTTGTTTCGATTAGTTGAAATAAATATGTTGCTTCCATTAACAGTTCATCAACAGTAATCAAATATTCTGAATATTTTTGTTTCATTGATGCTTTTTCAATTGACTTCATCAAGATATGATTATTCACATCTGGCCAACTGATTAATCGTGTGAATGGTAAACTCAAATTTTCATATGATATAGGATCAATTCTTGTCCATTGTAAAGTGAATATATCTGTATGAGGAAACAATGGTTTATCATTAATAATGTTTGGTATCCAAGTAATCAATACACGTGCTTTTTTCTGTTTTGACAATGGGATTATTTTACGCAGTAATAAACGGTGTCCTAAAAGGTAAGAAATAACAGAGTAAATAAATAATAACGAATATTTTAAATAATTGGATATATTATACTGAAAATAGTTAGAAAAAACAAACAAACTATAATACGCATAACTTTGCCAAATGAGTATATCTTAAATATTTTTTGATTGAGATCATGAACCGACTGACGTTAGACCACTGTTGGAAACCTGGAAGCACTGGACGGCCAGCTCAGTTGTCAAGTAGGTTAAGCGTTCGCGCGCAAGACTGAAGGCCCTGGGTTCGGGTCCCGCGGGTGGGATCGTATATGCGCACAGCTGAGAAGTCTCACAATAGGACAAAACGGCCGTCTGATGCGTCCAGATTTCCAACGGTGGTCTAACATCAGTCGCTTGATGATCTCAATCAAAGAATTAATAATTTCCACAACCCCTATACCGATGTCTTAAATAATTTACTTCAATTAGCTAATAACCGACAATGTGTATATGTTTGTTTTGACTGAATTGATTATTGATCTAAAGCTTTACCAATTAAGTATACTTTTTACTAGTTCATTTACTGTTAAGATTATTCAATTGTTCTGACTTTCATTTGTAATAAATTATAATTACAAACATAAACAGTTAATCAAACTGTTCATCTAAAATTGTCTACATAGACAGAAATGAATATTAAATAAGTTATATCTGAGACGGTTTTGTGAATATTGTAGTAATGTAATAATTGAATTCATGAGTCAGATGAATTTGGATCACCATGGAGGAGTCTCATATTAGGATAAAACGACCGTCTAGTGATTCCAGGTATTCCATGGTGGTCTAACTTCACTTGACTCATGAATTCAATTATTAAGTTATATCTTTTATGTCAATTATGCAGTTGGATAGGAGTTATCAAGATCTAATTTTAAAATTTAACTGTAAAAATCATCAACAACACATACTGTGCTCCTGATACATTCATGTGACATTTACTGAAGTGTTACAAAACAAATATGCAGAATTTTGATGTAAGCCATTCTTACAATTAAATTATATATGAACATATAAATTGTTATTGAACTTGTCAAACTAGTCGACATATTCAACACAAGTGAATATGTTAGAATAAAGTGTACCGTCTTACTAATCACGTTCCTAATTGTGATCTTAATGTTTTGGAGTCTGATGAAGGCAAAACAATGTACTAAATTTTAATCATTTCGGCAGTAACTCTCGGAAGGATCTATTTTTAAAGTATCTCAAGATTGGGGTGTTCATCAAGCAAATATGCAACGATGTTAACTGAGTACTTATCGTAATAAAAATTATATCCGCAATGAAAATTTATTTGAAATGTTCTCTAGGTTTACCTTATTTAATGCGTGATGTTTAAAGACTTGAATTTGCGATTATTATTCACACATCAGACTTTTTTTCAGTACTTTGAACCAATCGAGTACTAAATCAAATAGTTCGTGAAATAAGTTCTTATCATTAAGCGGCTATAAAGATGGCGAGTTGAATAAATTTATGCATATCTACCACTTGATTAAACCTAAACGGTCTACAAGTTAGGCGTTTTTCTACGAGACCTAAAGTCTCATGTTCAATCCTCAGTAGAGTCGTGGATGCACAGCAATGGGAAGTTCCATACTATAAAAAAAGCTGTCCAATGATTCCTCGTTTTCAACATATTTGGTCGGTGATATCAACAGTGCACATTAATCTCCATATACGTCTATACTAATAAATCTAATGTAATTAAATATTAATAATTTTCATGAAAAATAGACTGAGTAATAAGACATAAGTACAATTCTTATACAGAAAATCAATTAATTATTACTAATTATATGTATTTTTGATTGAAATAACCGATATAATATATAACTTACTTAGTTTCTCTTCTTTAAGGTTCACATAAATTGTAGCCTGTTCAGTATCTTTATTAATTGACTGACCAATTATATATAATCGAAATCTTAAATATCCATTAAAAGAACACGCTTCATTTGAATTAAAAAATATTTTCAATGGAAGTTTCAAAATATTTTCATAAAATGAATTACTAGATTGTAAAATTTTATTACGATTTAAATTTGTATGATTGAATGGAATAAATTTCAAATAGTTGACATCATCATCATCATCCTCACCATCATTCTGTAATGTTTCATTTGTATTTTCATTAAACCATACTTTATTGAAGATTAGCTAATAGATGAATAGAAGATACGTAATCAATAATATTTTCTTTTTCAAGTTCTCAATCAAGCAACAGAATAGATTTACTCATGTATATTTAATTAAAAAGTATCATTTGATTGAAATCTTAGTAGATTCCAATCACATTTTGTTACCGACCTCATCAGTTATATAAAAATGTGTATGAAAAATATAACAGTGAATTTTATCATATCGGTTATTAGCTAGAAATGAACATTCTTAATTATTTTTTGCGCGGATAAATATTTATTTTTTGAAAGATTTTCAACACGAGACGTTTCTGCTTATAATGAAGTTCCATTTTGTTGAGTCGGCTTTCGAAGAACTTTGACGGAGACTCCAGTGGCCCAAAAGGAGCAGAAGAGTCCTAGCCAATCAGGGCATGATGGAGTAATCTAGAATTCCAACCTGGCGTGCTACTATTGGTCAGTAGCATAATATGTCGTTAACAGATTGGCCGAAATATGATGTTGATTTAACAAACGTCAACATCTATAAATACCCATGTTTTCTGTATAAAAACGAGCCTTGGAGTAAAGTGTTTCTCTCATACTTTGCGTCTTCTTTCTGGTATTCAGGTCTCTGCATAGTTCTAGGGTGCGGGTTATCAGATTAGCTTAGGAACGAATATAACGTCCAATCAACAAGACATAACACATTTGGTATGTGAAATGTAACAATTAGACTTTGTTTGTTTAATTATTTAAACATGGATAGATGGTAACAGGAGTAATTGTACAGTTCACTTGTTATTGTTCGACTTGTATCTTGCCATTGAGGTTTTAGACTGCAATTGATCTGTCTGTTATTGGCATAGGTGCATACTGTGCGTATGCCTCAGTATTGCCTTAATTCACAAGCTTTTTGTAAGCAATGATGGATAGTGGCTAGCAGTGGATTCCAGGACTCGCGTTTCATCATCAACTCTGAGATGCAGGTACATCAAACTGACGAGTCCCAAATAAGACGAAACGCGCGCCCTGGATTCCACTACTAGCCACTATCCATCATTACTTACAAGTAATTGTACAGTATTTAAATGTCAGTTTCTTAATAAAATTAGTTTAAAGAAACCAGTTGATTGTAAGCATTACTATGTTCTCGTACAGTTTCAACTTATAAACTGGTTAGATCTTTAGAAGTACAAAGTATAGATTCGTATACTTGTGTGTTGCAAATCATTATTACGTATATTAAAAATTAAAATCTTAGTAAATAATTAGGATTATATGTAAAGACCATTATTATTAACTAATGTATCTAACTTACGATCTATTGTCTAAATATTCCTATTCATAAGTTAGACGTTTCTAATTTAATTTAAATCTGACAAAAAATCGTGGAATATTAATGATTAGGAGTTAAACTGTTTTTGTGGAGTTTTTATGTTTCGCATAAATAGAATCTTTGTTAGTGTGACAAACTATCAACTCTCAAAATCGTTCGGTACTCATATTAAGTTTACACGATTGCATAGAAAGCTTATCACACCACATAACAGGACCTATAGTGGTTTGCTAATGATGCGTAAACTGTGGGTACATTTATAAATCCTCTTTATATAACAGACGACACGCTGATGTATTAAGTATCATAGTGATGATTGACAGTAACTGGAAGATAAAGCGCGTTACTTATATTTTTGTTGCGTGATATGTTCATTTTACGACAACTATCAAATACTCTGTTAAATTTATTTCACATCAGTCTTCACTTCCTCTAATTTTCAACGACTGAACATGTTCAGTGTTCAGTTCACCTACTTCTTCGGCTTTATGTAATGGATATCATCTCTAGTCTTCTAACACTGAGTGCGGCCTGGGTCCATTAAAAATGTTCATTTTGTCAGCATAAAATACTTGCAATTCATAAAATTATAATGCAATTTTATGAAAATATTTTACTATTTTTAATATATCTCCTAACAAATCCACTAATTTTAATAATTGAATTCACGAGTCGAACTATACAAAACCATGATTATAAACCTGGAAAACCTGGACGGCCGTTTCTTCCTAGTATGGGAATCCTCAGAAGTGCGCATCTGCTATCCCACATTCTGTATTCACACCAAGATTTTCGTAGTCTAAATTAATCTTGACATCTTTAATTATTTTTATTGACTAACAAATCCCATGAGTTATATCACTTAAGCAAGACAAAAGAACCATTTGAAATATAATAATTTATCTAGTCTATTCGATATTTACACGAATAAAACTACCTTCTTACTAGGAAATAGAAGTAAACAGTTTACTTTTCTCACCCGTTTAAATTAATTTATACTTCACTAATTAATTGTGTCACGAAATAACCTGATAAAATAAACTTAATAAAGCTTTGATTTCACGGTAACGTTTCGATTTGATATAAAAAAAATGCTCTCAGTACGTAAAATAGTACGGTCTTTTAAAGAAAAAAAAATCATATTGTGTTTTGAATGACCGGCACTTGATATATGACATATTTCTAGAACACAATAAGTGAAGTCAAAGTTTTTTTTTCGAGAAAAGCTTATTCTAACTACATTTTAAACTATTAAGCTTTAATTAAACAATAATTCTATGTTATTTAACTTAATAGGGATCCATTTTGACTATTTACAATTTGATGACATAAAAAACTGGACGTCACATAAATCTTGTACAAATTGTCTATTTGCGTTGACGTAACCATTTTTTTACAAAGTAATTTCGTGAGTGATATTGTACGACTAGAAAGTAGATTTTAAAGTAAAATCACTGTTAGTTTTAATGAGCTTTCAAGGTCCCTTTTTACCTAAAAATAGAAAAATCTGATCGTTTTGGCTGTATCACAGATAGACTTAAAGATGTTTGCTCAATACAGAAACAGTTGTTAGCTATTCTGTTGAAATTACATACTAATGACAAATCTTTTAAACTCTGTGAAAGTTCCTTGATTTCATAAATTTGTGAATATTATATTCCTTCGTAGCTTTATACTTGTTATATTTTACTGAGAAACCATACCAATGTGGAATCATATATGCATATCACGTTTCAGCTATGTTAATCTGTTCAAACAGATATATGCAAATGTAAGTCAAATCATGGAATTCAATGTTTGTGAGCTGTTTAGATTTTCTTCACGTACTTCTCTAAAATCACTGATTGTGACACCTTTATTAGAGTGTGATTGTGATCAGTTAGGGTACAACAACATATCTGGTAAAATTCATTGAATTTTCTGGTTTCGATGTTTGACAATAAATGGAATGGATCTATGAATGAAATAACAATAGAGCACATCGGTCCGTAGAAAGATATTTTATAAATGATCTAAGTAATATGAAAATGGAATTACACTAGTTTATAAGATATTGATGAGAAAGACTTTATGCTTCCACACAAAACAGTAGCTTACTTGGTAACCTTCTGGTAATTGTCCGCAATCTACTTTGATATTCTCTTTCCAACTCACAACTACCCAATCTAGTTCACGTGAAACATTAAGATTGTATGGAATAAATTTTGACGTTCTCATCGACGTTAAAAATCTTATGACTTCATTATCTTTTGCTTGTTTGGAAACTGACAAATGTTGAATAACAGTTTGTGGACCCAATAACCATTTGTCAGAATTTCCGATTTCTACACTTGCAGCACGAATACTTATTATGTAATCACTATCAAATTTCAAATCTCCAGTGATATATGAGAAAGCCGTGCTATCGTTAATAAATATTTGTAAATAATCTAAACCGCACTTGCTTTGAATAATTTGAATTTTGACTGTTTCATTTGCATTATACATGTGATCGTGATTTGGATAAGTTGTTATTAAACTGTGTGTATGTTTTTCTCTTTCAGCTTCCTGAATCGTAATTAAATACCCACCAGGTATTCCATTCCACTCCTCCGAAGAAAGAGGCTGAATTTTATAAATCAACAAAGTTTAAGTAAAAGAAAGTTCAAAAATTGTTTCAATAAAAGCATCTGTGATGAATAAGCTTACAGCTTTTAATCATCTGACAAAATTATCACATTATAAGGGAAAGTTATAGAATAAAGCACAAAAAACGCCTTTCCATTTATTATAAATCCTATTTTTATGCTCTAGTGACTATCGTGGGGCGTATTTAGCAATATAATGTATCACTTTTATCTAGAAGTGAGCGATCGAAATATAAAAGTTTTGTTTTATAGATTTGACGTACATTGATAAAATCCCTTACATTTGTCACTTTGTTCATTGACGTCCTCAGACGTAAGGTTGCTCCGTTCCCTTACCGTTCCACGTATCTCTGCATACAATGCGTGCAAGCACAGTTCATAAGTAATAGTTGAGAAATATCATCGGATATTAGGAGGCATTCCGAAACGTTTGAGATAAAAAAGAGACAATTTAAGTATCTTTAGTCTGTCAAGACGAAAAATCATGTTTAAAACAGCATTGCTCACAGAAAATACCGTCTTTGTTACATTTAGCTTAGTTTCTAGGTTGTAAATGATTTTTTAATGAACCGTAATTTTTAAGCAAAATTTGAGCTATCAGAATAGATTTTTATGGTTGAAATCACGAATCGGTCTAATTTATACCACCATTAAAGACGTGGAAGTGCTGGACGACTGTTCCGTCCTAGTACAGGATTTTTCTGCAGTGCGCACTTAAGATCCCGCACGCGGGACTTGAACTCAGGCTTTAGTGATGATCTAGCTCAGATTCACCCGTAATTTTTAATATAAAAATACACCAATCTCCACAATTCCCATGGTGATAATGGTAACTGATAGCTATTTGTCCTAATGAATGTTAAGAGAATTCTTTTATAGTTACTTGTAAGTAAATCATTTTGTGTGATATAAACAATTTTGATTGCACAATTATTCACCGAAAATAGAACACTTTGCTAAACTAATGTTTTTTTATTTATGTCTCGGTGGGTATATTCCGTTTAAAATAATATACATTTTAATAATGTTCGGTAAACTATTCAGAAACCGACTATTTCAAGTAAATCAAATAAATAGTAACTACAAAATAATACTAAATAATGAAATAACCGCCCCACTATCTAAGTTAATGCATCACTAGTTAGATCAGATTAGTGACAAACACAAAAATAATGAATGCTCTATTTTCTGTTATTGACTTTCATAAGACTATCCTATGTCTGACATTAAAGAGGAAGAATTTATTTGTAAAATCTCAGAGAAAGAATTTGAAGTAAATCCAACGTTTCGCCTGGCAATCTGGTCCAAGCTTTTTCAAGGAAAATATAATCAAACTTGGGCCAGATTGCCAGGCGAAACGTTCAATTTACTTCAAACTCTTGCTGAGATTTTACATATATATTCTTTGTTGGGATATTCAGGAAAATATCTCAAAAATTATTCTGTTAAGTCTAACGCTATCTTTGGACTTGAAATGGTGTTATTTTCTTATTGGTCAATATTTACTTCACGTGTCGTTTTCCTACTGGTCAGTATTGTACAATGTTATTTTCTATTTTATGGTACGATGTGGTCTGCTTGATTGGTATATAAACAGAGTATGTTTGAAATATAATGATTCGTATCTATGAGCCTGAGACTTGTGTTCTGGACTCAACTGGCTGGGCTAGGCAGGGGAACGGGACCAATCAGAACCCTAGGCCGTTCTTACGTGTTCGCGCGTCTTTGATCCGACCGATAATTCGCTGTCCTCTAATCTGCCGTTCAGACATAGCATTCTTCCACTTTGATATCTCACATTAATTCGGCCCCCAAATATTGTAAAACTATTCGTTCAAATTTAGACGAAAGTTCTTATTTACTATCTTATGTCTGTTATCAGTATAATTAATAAATATAAAAAGATTGGGTTATGAAAAGAAATCTAGCTGAATTGTAATCGTCAAGCGTCCCATATCCAAAGTAAACCAATTGTATTGTGAATATTTAAAAACTTATTAGCGTTTTTATTCCTTCTATCTGTATTTTATTAACTGAGTTCAAAAATAAAATGAAAAGCAATATATATTTGAATTTATTGGTGAACCATTTATCTATGTATAAATTCCAGCCAAGTGATATAAATTCTAATAGTTGAATTCATGAGACGATCTACGCTCAATAATGAATAACTTCAAAATGGATTTTCTGAAGTTCTATTTGGAGTCCGTGACCTGTGCAGTCCAATTCATGTAGAGTAGAGAGAGTTATCCACTTCATGCATTAAATGAAGGGTTGCGCAAGAGCATAGATCGGTTGAAGTTAAACAATACCAGCATTAGATGCCACATCAGTGGTCTAGGGGTAAACCGTCCATGTACATGACAGAAGGTTCGAGTCCCATTTCTGAGAAGTCACATACTAGAACGAACAGGTTGTCCCGTGCTTCCAGGTTTTAAATGGTGGTCTAGCTTTAATTGACTCATGAATTCAACCATAAAAATTACTACAATCTCCACAAATCCTTATTCTGATAATAATACAAATTCATAGATTCTAGTAATTACATATATTTGAAAACCAATTTATGCTGTGTTGGTATGCTTGAATAACAATTAATAAAGATTGGAATCAGTAGTATTTAAAAGACTAATTAATTTGAATGATATATTATAGAAAGGAAGATAATACTCTAAACATATGATGAATAACAAATAAGCATAGCGATGTTGTTGTTTCTTTTTAGAATAGAATTAAACTTTTATAGAAATTCCAATTCATAAATTATTCCAAACATACCTGCCATATAATTTTGATTTGATCTAAATCCAACATATGAGTAGATACTAATGATGGCGACACTGATGGCGGTTCACATTCAATTTTAAACCATTTAGATACATTTGAATGATATAGAATTTTGTTAGCTATCTGTTTATAATTACCAAAAAGTAAACCGATCGGTTGCCAAACTTCAATTCGATAATAATTATAACTGGATAAATTAAATAATTTAAATGATAACGTCAATTGTACTCCTTCATTAACATTGAATTTAGTCGATTCTGTTAATGATAATGTCAATGATGGACTAGTAGTATATTTATATGCCGTGATTATTCTCTAAAAGTGTTTTGTTATACAATTGGATAAATATAGAAATGAAAACAAACAAAGAAAAAGTAATTATTCATTCAGTATGTTAAGTTATATATAAGAATGAAAACATTGAAAAACGTTTTTAATTTTTCTGATGTCATTTAATTGACAAGATTGTAAATTGGCACCAATTAGCGGCAAATTAACTAATACATAGAATGGGAATAGTAAATCTTTCAAGAATGAAACTGTCAACTTTGAAATATTGACAAATAAGTACAAAAACTACTTATATCAATAAATAAGTTATCAGAATTACAACTTTGATAGTTGAGATCATTAGTCAACTGAAGCAAGACTACCATGGAAAACCCAGAAGTAACGGACGACCGTTTCTTCCTATTGTGGGACACCTGAGGAGTGCGCGTCCACGATGATGCTTTGCGAGATTCGAACTCAGGACCTATAGGTCTGACGCGCGAATCCCGTGAGGCGGGATCGTGAATGCGCACTGCTGAATCCCACAATAGGACGAAGCGGCCATCCAGAGCATCAAGGTTTTTCATGGTCGTTTGGTTTCAATTGATTCATAATCCCAACTATTAAAATTATCATGATATCCACAAAAACCCCTTCTGAGAAATAAAACTGTACATCATTATGAGTAATTACTTTGCGCAAGATATAATGTTTATGTTAAAAATTAACTTTGTAGAAAAATAACGTGGGATATGTGTACTGTTGGTGTACAAAGTTATATTTTGCATTATTGATCTTACAGATCGTTGTCTGATTCTGTTATAATTTGAAATAGATACACTTCATACGATTTTTTCACTATTCAGAATTTGTTACGTCTTAAAGTGTATCGGTACTTTTCAACAAAATACTGAATAAGTTATGGCTTTGATAATTTAAACTCCTCTTAACTGTTAACAAAATCGAGAGACAGAGAAACATACCTACAGTAGAAGAACATATGGAACTCAAAGCCGAAATCTTCAATACGAACGTCAAGACAGTTCTAATGTACGGAAATGAATTTTGGAGAACTACTACAACCATCATCAAAAAGGTACAAGTATTTAAACACAATTGTCTACTCAAGATACTAAATGTCTGCTGCCTGGATACCATCAACAACAGCCTACTGTGGGAGAGAACAAATCAACTTCCAGCTGAGGAGTAAATTGGGTAAAGAGGTTGGGAATGGATGAGATATACATTACGGAAATCATCAAATTGTATCACGAGGTAATCCTTAACTTGGAATCCTGAATGGGAACAGAAAAAAGGAAGATCAAATAACACACTGAGTTGGGAATCGAAAGCAGACATCAAAAATATGAATAACAACTGCAAACAACTGGAAAAGATTGTCCAGAACAGAGGTGAATGGAGAAGAGTTGTAGTCGGTCTATGCTCCTTGACGTGAGGTAACAAGCGTAATTAAGTCAGTAATGATCGGATTATCATATAATCTTTGAAAAGTTGAAAATTTCATAAAACTCACTAATTCGTTTAATCTTTTCATTATTTAGTTATACTTCGATAAAATGAGATGTTGTAGAAGATTTGTAGCTCAAGTGGATGATTTTGATGGAGTTTTCTTCTCTGAGCTGGATGGTTTAATCGTGGAGATCTGAAGTTTGTGTTGATGACGTCGTTCAGAAGAACGATGAAAGATCCACGACCAAATCATCCAGCTCAGAGAACAAAACTCCATCAAAATCATCCACCTGAGCTACAAATCTTCTCCGCCATTCGTTATTTTATATAGATATATAGTGCAAACATTGAAGTAAAGAACTGTGTTCCTTTACTTTTGGTCTATTTCAACTCTCGAAAACTATTCATTTGAAAATGATTTCCATTTCATTTAAGTCTATAATTCTAGCTTACTGTTATGGTAAAAACAGGTCTTTAAAAGTGTTATTGAAATCAACGTATCTATTCAAATAATGTAGTAAATAGAGGATTTAAATCTTGAACTACCCTTAGTATTATTAAATTTGACCTATCTACAACGATGACATTGAATTAAGTTGTGTATATAAAACAAGATTTTAAACAAAGAATTTTAGTTTGAGTAACAAAACAAAAACAACTAATAAACATTAAAGTGCTTCTTTTTGATATAATCACTGACGGATGTATTTATCGCTTTGTCTCACTAATTCTATATTTAAGAAAACCACTTGAATAGAATTTAGCTATAGTCATTATTGATTGATTACATTTCTAATTCTGAAGCTAAATTGATAAAAAACTGGATTGTTCAGTTCAGAGAAAAACTGTTTCTATTTTAAGGATGATATCAAATTTCCAGGTAACACCAAGAAATCTATTGCTTTCACCTATTAAACGGAAATATATATATATATATATATATATATATATATATATATATATATATATATATATATATATATATATATATATATATATATATATATAGGAACGAACAGAACGAACGTGAATGCTAGAATTCTGTGATTCGATTAATAATTTCAAAAGGGTGATATTTCATGTTAGGATTTTAGCTGATTTTCTAAAAGTAGAACTTTCTATTAACTTTCGTTTGTTAAACTTTGTAAGATAATTCACTTGATATTGTTTTTACTTGAATCTTCCGATTGATGTTTTAGGACTGAAATTGATCAGTCTGTTATTGGCATATGTGCATACTGTGCGTATGCCTCGATATTGCCTTTATTCACAAGCATTATAAGCAAAGATGGATAACGCGATGGCGTTTGAAGTGAACGGTACTGAGTTCGAGTTCCAGAGTGAAAATCAACTCTAAAATACAGGTACATCCAGCTGACGAGTCCCAAACAGGAACAAAGGCGCTTCCTGGATTCCACTGCTAGCCACTATCCATCTTTGCTTGTAAGATAATGTTTAGAATTCTAATATTCAGTTCCCAAACCACTCTTTTACATAGTACGTTGCACCATAGTGTCAGTTAAAATGAAAATCTTATTATATTTATAGAAATTCATACGTATTTAAAATTTATCGTAAATAAGCGATAGTAAATCGAAATATCTTGATCACATTTAGACATTGAATATTTGAGACAGTTTGAATAATTTTTCTTAATTTATATTGAATTTGTTTTAAAATCAAAGTTTATTAAGGAAAAACACCTACAGAATGAGAAACACAATGACGTAACATTTCAAGTTAAATTAGCAAGTTGTTTTAGAAGATTTTAATAATATTAGTAACTTGTTATACTCTTCCAGAAAGAATGAATTCTTCGAATTATATACGCTTGAGTAAACTGTAGACTGTTCGATATTCAATCGTTTGTCTGTTATGTAGAATGTTTTATTTTAACATCGAAATTTATGATTATAGAAAACGCTTATATTTGTAAATAATATAAAGCAGTATTTAATAATAAACTGTTTATATAAACAAAGGCGTATAGTCGCTAGCAATGGAATCCAAAACACACGTTTCATCCTATTTGCGACGCGTCAGCCGAATGCACCTACATCCCACAGTTGTTGTTCACTCTGCGACTTGAACCCAGTATCAATCGCTTCAAACACCATCGCGTTATCCACTTAGCTAATGAGTCTTGATAGCCACTTGCTTGTGCAATAGGTGAAGTTTGAATTCACTTGTTATTTTTACTTGAATCTTCCGATTGATGGTTAGGACGGCAATTGATCAGTATCTTATTGGCATATGTGCATACTGTGAGTATCCATCTTTGCTTATAATGTTTGTGAATTAAGGCAACATTGAGACAATACTCACAGTATGCACACATGGCAATAAAAAACTGATCAATCGCAGTTTTAAATATCAACGTAAAGATTATATTTTAGTCATAAGCATACATCTCGACTACACAAAAGACTTCTTCAAATATAATCAACATCTGGTACGATAAATAACTCAACTATCATAAAAGATCAAATCCAATTAATTAAAAAAGTGAGTTACCCAATTCAAAGAGTTTATATGATCATTTCCGTTTAAAGCTTGATAACCATTCAAAGGAATTTTTTGTATTTTTATTGGCCATTTACACTTTTCAATTAATTTTATTATTCGTGAAAAATCGCCTACAACTGGAGTAGATTGGTTGGATTGAGAAATATTTCCATCTACTTTTAAATTGAATTCAATTGAAAATTCTGCATTATGAGCCTGAAATAGATTCCGTTAAAAAAATGTTGATGGGATAGATGAGGATTCTTGAATAGTTTTTTTTTAGAGAAATATTTATTTCAAAATTTGTCTTCTGTGGTTAAAAGTTCCTGAAAATCTTGTGAAGAGTTATAGTAAAGGTAACCTACAGCTTAAAAAACAGATATTGTTTTAAGTGATTACAAACCCCTTAGTAAAAAAGTTTTAAACAAAATCCAGTATTAAAACAAAAAAGGTATAACTTAAAGTGTGTAGTTTTATATAGAATTTAATCATAGTACAAATTTCACGTATATATTTTCACAAATTGAGGAATACTGATCAGTTACTAATTTCCATCGTGTGATGTGGTTCATTACAAATATATAGTAACACAGTATGTTGTATTTAAATATAATGTGGCCTAGATACCACATAAAAGAAAATTATTCGTACATGGTCAATGATATTTGAATGAATAAAGTAAAGATAAGTAAGCCTGCATAGTGTCGCCGCTAGACAGAATTTCTATTACAAAAAAGTCGATAAAATAGGGTTTTGATTCGAACATGGAATTCAAACTCATATTGATATTCCATAAATATGGAGTCAAAGAATTGTTGAAATGTCTTCCAAAGCTCCTTCAATCAGTATTGTACAAGGTAAGACTTGGTATTTGATGACATTTGTTTTGACTCAGTCTTGCTGACGAGTTACGAAGACAATCAGTGAAGAAACTGCTTGGTATATACAGTATATTTATTATTTTACAGCATGAGAGAAGTGTTCAACCAACATTGAAAAGAAAGATGAAATAATGCTAAATAACTAGTTGCTAACTAACTGAACTCAAAAGATCAAATGTTTAACTCATAGACTATAGTAACGAAAAGTATTGACTTTGAATCCCTAAGTGAACATCCATCTATTCTATGTAAGACTTGTAAAAAATTAATTATATTGAAAGAATTCATACAGGATTTTTATGTGTCAACAAATTTCAGCTGTAAATGTCAACATCAGGATAACTCTAACTTTTAGTAATTATTTTATGATCATGAATTGACGGAAACAATAACATAAAAGGAAATCCCAAAATAATATCAGTGTATTAAGTATATTTCATCATCAGTGAAGTTTGTTTTGTGCCTTGGTTATTTCTTCTGAACAAAACAGAAAAAAATGTATCTCAGGTGTAAAATAAAAAGAACAATAATTTGTCTTTTGTTTTTCTTTCTTCACTGTGTTATTTTCTAAAATGTAAACAGTAAACTTGGAAAATAATAAATCATGATTTTGTTTGTTTTTTGAAAGGCAAATAAGTTTTTGACATATCTCCCTATATGTATCAATGATCGGTTACAAGTAGAGTGGTACAAAAATATGTAATCAACCGATTAATATATATATATATATATATATATATATATATATATATATATATATAAGTACCACAGTATAATGGTTTTTATGTGACCAAATGAACATATAATCATGATTAATGAACGAGATAAAATCGAAGGGAAAGTGGACTATGCACAGACTTAAATTAAAGATATTGACTGAAAAGAAAATCATGAAGTTGGATAGAATTTATAAGTTTGACAACAGAAATCATTCTAAAGAAACTGAATCTAATAAAACTAAAAAAAATTAAATTCATATAAATAAAGTGATAGCTTTTTGTGGTTCAAAGATAGTTTGTATCAAAGACTGAATGTGATTCGACGGTTGAAGAAAAAGAATAAACACTGGATAGCTGCTTTTTAGAGTATTGGAGATCATACTAACGACGAAGTCAAGGTAGAGATTTCGAATCTAAAAAAGTGCTCATCACGTGGCTTGCGACTAAATTTCAGGAAACTTCGAGAAACGTGTATTAGTAAAAAGTAACTTGTACCACTCACATATGTTGAAAGTGAAATCTTTGCTTAGTAACCTTTAACAGTTAAATTCATAAGTCATTCTAAGCTGGATCAATTGAAATTATGGATTAACACTGCTGGATGCCGTCTCGGTGGTCTAGAGGTTAAACGTTCGCTCGCGAGACCGAACGTCTTGGTTCCGAGTCTCACGTGTACGACCGTAAATGTGTACTACTCTTAACCTCTTTTCGATAGACTGTATATTTTAAAAAAAATTATTCAACTTTAACAGATGAAATTTTATCATTATTTCATCGATATTATTTAGCATTATGTAGTTTCGTAGAAACAGATCTTTCACATATTTACATCAGTATTAAATAATATAATTTCACTACCCTAATATTGTAGAATATCAAGTTCTACCTAATGCCTATTACACATTTACAGTAAGTGTATCAGCTAATTTCAATCAGTGGTACAATTACTAACAAGATCATATCCAGAACATATCTCCTTATTAGAAAAAAGAAACCCACTATGTTGTTTCACAGTAAATAACTTTTTTTCAGGAATGATAATCATAATTCTTACATTAATCTTTGAAATAATTGGCTCACTGACAAACTGTATCCGAGTATTATTTAACCACTTAAATGTTTTCTCTTGATGTTTACTTGAATGTATTAAATTAATCCATTGTATAAAGCTTTGTTCGGTATACTGATGTTTGTATTTCAATGTTGGTAATAATGATGTAATGCCTAATTGTAAACTAACTGGACTTAATCCAGCTGCATTCAATGCAAACATTCTTATTTGATAAATATGTTTATGAATTAATGATTTAATATGTACACGATTAATTGTTCTGTTTAAACTATAATAGCCAGCATACTTTCTATTGTCATAAGTTCTAGTTTGTATAGAATGGATAATATTAGAATCTTTTGTATAAGCTGATTGTAAGTGGTCTATTATTGGATATTGATGAATTGATTGTTCATTCCAATAGTTAATATAATTATCATAACTACTGTTTTGGTTAATTCTTTGATTCATATAATTCACTGTTGTATTATATTCACCTTCTACATGATCATATTGATGGTGAATGTCAATTAATGAATCAATAGGTTTAATCTAAAAGGAAGAAGAAAGGTAACAATTAAATGTGATAAAAGTCACAAATAAATCATAAGTATATCTTACTGAAGTTTATGCTGCATTATTTGTTTCATTTATTTTGATCAAATGTGACTTATGAATGTTCATTGAAAAGATACAGGATGCTGTAAAATGACTTTGGAACAATAAGAAGATTTGATCAATAAAAACAGTCATTATTATCCCGTTATGAGATTCACCAACAGTACATATCAACGATTTTCCCAGCGATCAAATCTACAGTTATCATATGATGTCAAAAAGAATTCATTGTTCTTCGATCATTAACGTAAACCTTAATAAATTACCACTTCCAAATCCAGTCGATTTTTACCCATTAAATGTCACTGATATCTAACGAATCTAGTTAAGGTCACAACTTATTTGTAGAAATGCATTAATTTGTCTTCGAATAAGTTATTATTGTTTTCCTGAGTGTTTCACAAACATTCTTTTAGCATGAAATTCATCATGATTTTCTCAAAACTACTAAAATAACTCTTTTAAGTTTTCATTCATCACAATCATAATCTACGTTCTGTATCCGCTATCAGTTAATTGAAGAGTATGGAATATTTGGGCATTTTTCATTATCAACAAATACTGGTAATTGTCATAACTTGTGGCCTTGTGCCCTATTAATACATTACGTGATGATACCAGACTTTATCTGTCCTTCTTCCCGCCTAGTCCTGCCTATTAATTCCAAAGCATCGATCTCAGCCTCTGCGATATGAATCATGTATTTCAAACATACTGGGTTTATATACATACCAAACAGACCACATCGCACCCTAAAGTAGAAAATAACATTTGTACAAGATCTAGTCAAGAGTGGTTGTGAATGTGGGAGACTGTAATTATTAGACTGGGCATAAATGAAGAATGGGAAATCGTATAATAATAGTCTATAGGTCAAAATAATGCTTATAATAAGAGGAACATGAAAATGCATAGTATAGCTACTTAATAATCACACAATAAATATATATGTATCGTATTGATCAATAAATAGTTCTCAAGAGTTACCATTCATAATTCTCGTCGGGGTATAATAGTAATTTTGTTCAAACCTGAATCAGGGGAAAAATTATTTGTATTAATAAATCCATACATTTGTCTGTCACTCATATCTATAAAAGACTATAACGCATTAAATGAATTATGTTCAGTCAAAATATATGTGATTTTGAATACTTGACACATTTTTAATTCATTTTCATATTGGTTGTTTGAATCTTCCAACTAATGTTTCGGACTGCAATTAATCAGTACCTTATTGGCATATGTGTATCCTGTGTGGATTGCATCGATACTGGCTAAAGTCACAAGAATTATAAAAGAAGATGGATGATGATATCCTGGATTCCACTGCTAGCAATCATCCATCTTTACTTATAATAGTTGACAGTTTAAAGACCAACCTGCCATTGAAGTGATTTACATATTCTCTTACAGTTACCATAAACCTTTTAACTTCTTATGTTACTTTTATTGCTTACTGATCTTATTCATGAATATATTTATAATGCATTTTATTGAATACAAATGTGTAATAGATCTTCTAAAAAAAATTGGAAGCCAATCATAAATTATTTGAACGTTGGTCAAACTTTTGCACTACAGTCCATTTATCTAGTAGTAAGTATCATAGACAATTGAATATTTCATGTTTACTAGGGGTCCAGCACGTGTATCTTATTTATTTGTTAGTAGATTTGTTTTAATGTTACTCATGTATGAATTAATTATTTAAATATGTAAATTAATTTATATTTTATTCAATAAAATAAACAAAATAATTTATTAATTCAATTTACTTTCTTTGTGTCATTTAACATTTTTATCAGAATGGGGTTTTGTGGAGAATGTAGTAATTTCATAGTTGAATTCATGAGTCCATCAAAGCTAGAACACGACTGAAAATCTGGAAGCAACAGACAGACGTTTCTCCTCAACAATGCGAATTCACGATCCCACACCCGTGAATCTAACCCAGTACCTTTGGTTTCACGCACAAACGCTCAACCTCTAGACCACTGATTCGGTGTTAATGTCTAATTTCAATTGATTCACAAAATTGAGCCATCGTCCAGTATTATTTTCAGTAGGTAACTGCCTTACGACAAACACCACTGATCTCCATTGGCCACAGCTTCTCCTGCGAGCTAGATCGTGGATGCTGAGAAGTGACGTACCAGGAAGAAACAAACGTCCGGTCCTTCTAGGTTTTCAATGGTGATCTAGCTTTAATCGACTCATGTAATCAACTATGAAATTACTTAACATGTACACTAGTGACATAAATGAGTGTCTTATTTGATTGAGATGAAGCTCAAAAAATATGTTTCGAACCACGAACTTTTTCGTGTATATTCTATGCTTTAAATCTATTAACTTTATACAGTAGCTCTCATTTTAGTATTCAGTCGATTAGCATAAACTATCAAGTAATGGAAATCAAAGGAGATCAAATTAAATTATATTACAAATTGAAAGAAGTTAGGAATTTGGACGAATAGATTCCATTAAAGCTGGATTTTGGCTTTAAAGAAAATCCGAAATAACCGTTTGCTCGTATTCAACACTGTTTATCTAGATGTATCTACTAGTGCGTTCATGTTCACACTGGAACTTGAAACCGATGCTCTTCTCTTCAAGCGTCCAATACACCACCTACTGATATTTTGACTTAAAACAATTCGTTGTACCATCTAAGAACTGCTAAAACACAATAATTCAGCAAATAACGCGTTTTCTGTATGAGATGAAAGTATTGGATTCGAGCTCAAATGTGAAATTTAGCATGAATGCAAGGACATCTAGGCGACAAGCCCCGTACACGATAAGATCGGCATCTTGGGTTCCACTGTTAGTATATATTCAGCTTTACTAAAAACTTGTGGATATATAGCAAAATCGAGGTAATTCGCTTGGGATATACATGATGCTAATGAAGTTAAACCTATAAATATTTAATTTTTGCACTCATCAGAATTTTGAATTACTTAATAATCCATATCAGGTTTTCTTGGTTTGTTACACAATCGTCCTTCACGTAAATTCTCTTGCTAATGTATTTCCATTCGGCTTTTTAATAGAACCTAACCAGTAATCATATAAAGACGATTCAGTAGGATCTAATAAGCTGGTTTGGAGTGTTCAGTATCAAAATATACAATTGTAATCGAGTTATATGCAGAATTTTGTTCTTTTAAGCTTTTATTTGTATAACTGCAAATATCACTGGTGAAATTTTTATGCTAAATGGTAATTAATTAGTTTCAAAATATAAAGTAACGGGCTCCAATTGAATGGTTCAAATCGTAAATGTATTTGACATAAGGACTTGAAGATTCTAGATACAGTAGCCAGAGAGTGTTCAATGCTAAGAATCTTAAACTAGCTCACATTTTATTGAGTTTCTGTTAATTGCGATTCAGTTGGTGTAGGTACCTACTACATTTTTCAAACAACCGAATTGTTCTTAAAATGTTAGTTGGCGTGAAGTGGGATTTCGTTACGTTGAAAATACATTCACTAAACCGCATATACGTTTTGAGGCATTTGAAAAGTAGTTGTATGAAACTGATGACAAACTTGGAAAACTTGGTAAATCTTACAGATTATTTACCATTTATTGGTAATCAATTGTTTTACTTGATGAATGTGATGCAGAAGTAACTTGAGTTCTTGAAGAGAATAAAAGTGTGCGGATAATTTTTAGTGCTCTTCATGTTTAAATCTACCATTTCACTTGGTCGCAATCTTTTTCAAATGCTTTTCAGATCGTTAATCGTCTTTCACTCAACGATGATGAGAGATGTTGAAATATGGATTGATAAACATTCCTACTATGTCCTATGTTGACTTTAACAGACTAGACACTGTAGTGAAATTTAAAACTATGTTTAAATGTCAGGTGGTTAGTAGTATTCGGAAGTAATCCTTCAGTCTCGTTAAGAGTACACATGCGTCACAGGCATTCACAGTATGAGACGTTATCAGTGAGCTATTGCTTCCACGAATAACTTTCCGAAGGAGCAAGATGTTTACATTATCTGTTCAGTAAGCAATTTGGAGAACGATTCTGGTCAAAATAATGACGTTTTGTACAGAGATCAGTTTTCCAAATATCAACATTATGTTATTATTGGAAATAAGTAATACTAAACAACCAGATAAATACTATCATGTGAAATAATGAAAATGAGCAAATTATTGTAATAACTTCATGTTTTTTGAAAAGTTCTCAGTTTGAACTTATTTTCTTGTCAAATTATTCATCAATTAAAAGGCTAACAGGATTAAACGTTATATAACTTACCTCAGTATAATGTAGGATATATTGTAATATTTTTCCATTTGGTTTTTCTGGTGCATCCCATTCAACAATAAGACCATCTCTACCATCAGTATTAACCATTAAATTGATAATTCGCGAAGGAACTACAATTTGGACATTTCGAAAGTAATTTTTAATCATTAGGGATCCAAGGAATTTTTAAAATTATTATTTTTCATTGAACTAAAATCTGTTTTACAGGATGAGTGCAGAACAGTCCACATAAATGTAACCTCAGCTACTCATAGTTAGGAACTTGTTTAAGAAAATACTGAAGAAAGTAAACTGTTTAATTCACAAATATTTTTAGTAACTAATTTCTATATCAGAAGTATCATAGAATACAACGATTTAATTTTCTGGTTAAAATTACTGAAATTCCAGTTGAACAAGGGGTTCAAAATAGGATTTTCAAGTCCCCTGGATTTTTACGTTGGCCAGTTATAATTAGGTTTGTCAATGATCTTTTGTTAAACTATGAACACTTCATCACATGACTTAACTCGGAAAGACTTTGTTATTCTTTTGTGTACAAACAGAGCTATGGATACTACAGAGTGTTCAATATGATATTCCCTAAATTTCATTCCGTTACAGATTTATCGATTGTTAGTAAACAATATACTTAAATGGAGGGATTACCACTGCTTTTCCCCTCTGTTGTATACATTTATCCAAAGTGGAAACACGTGATTGAGCACTAATTATAGTTTTGAAAGTTATGTAACTCCACATAAGATACCATTCAAGCTTATTGTATAGCAGTACATTTAAGAGGATTAGATTTTGTAGAAGTTTTATTGAGAAAATAAAAACACCACTTGAAATGAAATGAAATTGAATGCTTCTTTTTTTTATAAACTCAAGATGTAATTTATTTCAGATTGAAGAGGTTTCTGGTACACTTGTTGTTTGATATTCATAAGAAAAAACATTTAATGATAAGTATATGTCAATGATTGTATCATTGGTTTAAACAGAATTCGATATAAAGAAAGATGGTATCAATTATCATGTACAATATATCAGTTCATTAAGGAGAACAATGTTATTGAGTATTTCAATCAAGAAAAAAAATTTGAAGGCTATATATGCAGATTATGAAAACTAGATTGAAACTATTCTTTAGCTATCAGTACCATTTACAGAACCATAGTAAACTTTAGAACGATAAATAACTCCTAGTTATTGATATGAATGTTGGTAGAAATTGAATAGAATAATACTCATTGATTTATTTGATTCTAAAAGTGACTGTAGATGTTTGAACACTATTTTTCTGTGAGGACTATTTTATCATTTAATTCGACTTGCACTTAAAATCATGAAGTGATCAATGTTAGATCATGATTGAAAACTCGAAAGTACTAGAAAACCTTTTCGTCCTAGTCTGGTATTCCTCAACAGTGTGCATCACCAATTATGAACATAGGACGCATGGCCTAATGACAGTATAAAGGAATGTTTATGAATAAAATAGTTCAATAGTAAAGTTTTTGATAACAGTTTATAACTTGCCATCTTCAGTTGTACGAAACACCTCGGCTGGTTTACTGAACGGACCAACTCGGTTTATATATACATAAGCAATAAACAATTCGTATAAAGTATATGGACTAAGTGAATTCAAAGTAATTGAAATCTGATGGTTACTTCTATTCACATTTGCACTGAACAAAACTGTGGAGTTTTCGAAAAGGTTTAATTCATTACAACGCTGACTGCTAATTATGTTTTCGCGGTTAACATTAAAGTGTTCATCAGAAAACGTTTCAGCATCCGTGACACATTCTAATGGTAGATACACTTGCAAGTCGGAACAACCAGGTGGATCAATGCAAGATAATTTAACCTAAAGATGAACAGAGAAAATCAAAAGAACATTAAGGAATATGCAGGCACACAAAAGTGAGAGAATAATCAGCTGAAGTGTAATAAATTATTCTACATTATTAGCTTGTTTCTGAAGCTTTCATTATATTTTTTTACTAAAATAGCCAAGACCTTCTAAAAACAGAACTACCTGGCCTAGAAAATGGAACATAAATGAAAGTATATCACTAAAATTTTTAATTTTATTACTCATTTTTGCTCATTAATGATCATTATGGTTTTGAAAAATTCAGCACAATACGTGCTTAACATACACAAAATTCACTACTCAAAAAGTAAATTTTAACTGCGCTGAAACTGATAGTCGTTAAGGAAAAAAGCTAGTATACCATGTCTTTGGAAATTGAACAACAAAAGTGAGAAGTACTGGACAGTTATTTATTTAATTCATGGAACTACTAAGCAGATAAGTTCCACGACTTCACTAGATTTAGCCTACAGGATGTACTCAAAAGTGATGAAATTTCAGAGGATTATTTGAAGATTTATAGACCTTAACCAGTGAAGCTTGACTATGTAAGGCTTTGACTACTTATCACAACATAGATTACTTAACAAGCTATATACTTTTTAAAATATAGATAATAACAAATATTCGGAAAAGACTTTTTAGTACAGGATTTAACATTTTCAGGATTTGTACTTAATACATCTTTCAGTATTCAATAATCCATTATTTTTTTATCTTTTATATCTGATTGTGAACCGAGATAACTTCCAGCCACAGTGAAATACAGTGGTATAGTTAGTAAAATGCATTTATAAAGTTGATATTTTTTCTAAGAATGGATTCGTATATTGTCGGTCTGATAATAGAATTACATTTTACTAACATTAGGTGAGTTAATATTTAAACAAAGCACATTCAGTATAAACCATTTCAGTACATTATTTTATCATTACTCAACAATGTAAAATACTTTCATATCCGTAATAACTATGTGGTGTACGCTACATATGCAGATATATTTAAGTAATGTGTAGCAGCAATCGGAAACAAAAATGTTTTCCAGCAGAACAATAAATTAAGAAGAAAAGGAAGCGAAACAGAGAGTAAATGTAATGACTACAGAATTGAATTAGGCATTAAGCATGTAATAGACAACTGAAGGAAGACGCACAAATAATCCATTTAATGTATGATTTTCATATACAATTTTGCATATAATAATAAATTGGTTTATCGTACCTAAGTTCTCGTTTACTAAAACTACATTAGCAATGTTAAGTATATAAAACCAAAAGTTCAAATAAGCATGTTTGCTTTGAAGTATACTTACTAAATAACCTTTCATTTGTTCGGTGTAGTAATCATCTCTATCTATATAGTCACTGAGAAATGATATTTTCACTTTATTTGCTTGATGTACAGTAACAGATATGAGTGACGGTGTTTTAAATAATTCATGTGGAAGAGTTTGAACTTGAAGAACTTCAGAAAATGTTCCACATTCGTAATCATTACATGCTGAAATCTTTTTCAGAAAACCAACAAAAATTATGTTGTACACAATGAAACATTTTCAAAAAAACGTCTAACACATGAAACAAATAATGAAACTCATTTGAAACGACTATAATATCAATCAAAAAATATTATTAGTAAATATCAGTTTTTGGGATGAAAAGGATTGATGTCCTACATGCTGAATTATCTAAGAAAACCTACTTCATATTCTCAATATCATTTTACTACTATTTCCGAAGGGCGAAAACTGTTTAACACCACTTCAAAATCTATAGCGCCAACAAAGTGTTTATACAAGTTGATACACATGCCTGAATCCGCAAATAAAATTATAACTTCCAAACGTCTTTATCCTAATAATAACAATGTGACTGATTGCCTTAGAATAAATCATCCTTTTTTGAATGTCCTGACATTATTTTCGATTTTTCCATCCTACTAAACTGTTTTATCCATAACCTAGAATTGACAGATTCAGCAACTAATTCTTGTAACAAATTCAAATAATTTATTGTTGCTATGGTAAAGTGATGCCCCCAGAATCTTGTCGGAAATGCTAGAACTTTCATAAAATTGGTATCCTCCACAAACTTGAAAGCTGATCGATAATATTTGATGAATGCATCAACTAGTTGCATTTCATTGCTTCCATTCCAAATACAAACATTCTAACATGTTTAATTATCTTCAGTTAATTATATAACCTTCAACTTGGAAAGTTCGTTGTCAGTGATGAATGCCAGAACTGAAGTTTACTTTTCACAGAAAACATTTAAAGCTAGTAACACCGAAACTAATATAAACGAGTTTCAAACACCTCAATATTTTTAATCATTTTATAAAAATTTGACAAACTATTATATTATTGACAATTTATGCAACTCATTAAATCTGAATTACATTATTTCTCCTTTATTATGTTCTTTGTCATGATATTCTCAGTTTCGTTTTAGATATCCTACTAGTGGATAGCAAGACCTATTTAAAAAATAATAGTTCATTTACTTAGTTCTCCAGAGAAGTACTATTAAACAATCAGAGCTAATCTCGAGGACATCTTGATTGACATAAGGTTCATGCTGGTCTGGTCTCGCTAATAAGTTTTGACAATCTGAAGGTCACTGATATCCCCTTCGTGATTCGAACCAAGGTCATTTAGTTTCAAACCCTGAGACGTTACAGCTAAACTAGATAGTTCACCACTGACTTCCAGCACAATTGATTGATCACGGACTAAGAATTAACGACTGATCAATGACACTTAAATAATACAAATAACTTACTTTTAAATGATATCTTGTCGATGGTTTTAAATTGGTCAACTCATTTTGTTGTATAAAACTGTTTATATTAGAACATTTTTTCACTTCCACAAAATCACTATTCTCAATCCAATAATACAACTATAAAATAAAATTACATAAATAGAATTAGCATGATGAAAACACCATGAAGAAAACAGTTTAGTCACTATTTCAATTAATCATTTATAGGGATATTCATCTTCAACAAACGATATACTACTGCTCGAATGTATATCACTTTTTAAACAAAGTTATTATCTTGACAGCTGAAATCATGAGTCGGTCTAAGCTAGACTACCATGGAAAACCTGAAATCACTGGATGGCCGTTTTGTCCTAGCATGGGACTCTTTACCAGTGTACATCCACGATCCCTCACACCAAACTCAGACACATTACTTTCGGGCTCGCGTGCAAGTGCTTAACATCCAGTCCATCTAATCGGAATTCAACGGTGTTAATGTTCAACTTCAATCGTTCCATAATCTTGAGCAACCACCTTCCATTTATGTTAGACTGCAATTAAATGTGAAGAAATGGTATGTCCTTATAAACTAATGTGCGAACAAAAATCTTTTTCTGAGTCCTAAGTGCGGGATCACGAATGAGCACTTCTGAGCAGTCTCATAATAGAACGAAATGCTCATTCAGTGTTTTCAGGTTTTCAATAGTGGTCTAGCTTAGATCAACACGTGAATTCAACTTTTTTTAAAAATACTACGATCTTCACAAATTCCCATACTGATAAAAATCAATTTGTATCATGTAAAATTCATCATTTCAATCTGAGAATGATAAATTAAAATTCCCAAAGTAGATAATAACAAAAAGTAGCTATCACTTTGTAATAAAACCACATGAATATTTCTGAGATACTATTTGCCTGTATAGGAAATATAAACAAATAAATAGAAAGAAGTTAAATAATCCAAGAAGAATATTGGAATGGTGGATAGAGAGAAAACAACAATATGTATCAAGGTGGATATAACTAGCTGATATTTGCCGTCTAAGAACGAAGAAAGCTGCTTAACTTTTGAAAATGATTTCAAGAAATTCTCGAACTTGAACTGATTTTTAAAATTTTTGGTTTAAATAAGGAAGCCTATATTATTTCACTATGCTAATCAAGATCACAAGAATGAATGATATGCCTCGTATGAGATTAAAAATGTAATTCTAACTAACAGTAAACACCTGTTCAAAGTAGATTTTGTAAAAATAAATCTCTGCATGAATCTCTGTAAAAAAAGTGGCAAGCTCCACGACCAAACTGTCCAGCACACAGAACAAAACCCCATCAGAATCATCCACCTGAGCAACAACTCTCCACCATCGCAAAATCTGATTTTAGAATTGAGAACACTTATTATAATCCTTGTACAATAGTATCACAGCTTGATAACGTATAAATAGTTTTTAAAATCGTATTTACGTTAAACCTATTAGAAAATTCAGTGAACAATTTTTTTGAAGTCAATTACAAAAATGATTTATAATGAAAACATTTTGTAGTCAGTGGTAGATTCTACACGTAACTGTATATTTAGATAGTGGTTAAGGTTTACAATGTCTAGTCGAATAGTATTTAAGTTATTTTAAAGCGTGGAAATATCAGCTTATAGAGAAGTACATTTACTGTTTTGAAACAAGTGCTTTAAATCAGAAGACTTCATATCATATTACTGTAGTGTAGATATGTTGACAAGATACATCTACATGAAATATATAAACGGTTTCAATGTCCCACATTACCACCTACACAACCACTAATAGCTGCTTGATTTGGCATAGAATCTAGGTTACGTTACCACTCTTAAGTGGCTATCTATCGAGATATATTCTTAGTACTATTTTAGCTGTGTTTGAAATAAGTAGTAGGTTATAAAGCTTGCTTTATAAACATCTGGTTTAATGTGGATTAAACTTAGTTTTTAGTAACGTTTTACCCTTACATAGATAAAATAAAATTAATCTCTATAGGATTATGGAGATTGTTGAGTTTCAAAAAGGGTGGCAGTTACCTACCGATGGAAATGGAAGATGATCGCGCAATATAGTGGATTGAGTGAAGTTAGATAATAATACCAATGAATACCGTCTCAGTACTCTAGAGGTCAAGAGTTCGCTCATGGAACCGAATGTCCTGAGTCCGAGTTTTGTGCGTAGTGTCATGGATGTTCACCGGTAAGAAATCCCATCCTAGGACGAAACGGTCATCAAATGCTTTCAGGTTTTTAACAGTGGTCTAACACTGATCGATTGATGTTCTGAATAAAATTTATATTTTTTTATTTATATGAATTTGCGGCAACCCTTAAAGGATTTGTTAAGGTACAAAATTGTCTATGGAAACATTTACTCATCAACGATTACAATAATTTCCGTTTAAAATCAATAGTAGTTTCCCCTACAAGTTCTGAAGAACTTGCTCCAATCTTCAATGAAATCAGGGATGAGGAAGTAAAACAAATGTCACTCACTAGTTTGTACAATAAAAACTTTATTGAACACTTAGAATAATTTTCTTTGTAATTACTAAATCTATAGGGTTACATGGTAGCGAATAAGCTTACTTGTTATACGGTTTAAAGTTTTGTATCTTCATTGTTGGTATATGAAATACACATATTTGTAATATAAATCGAGTATTATTATGTAAATGGATTGTGCAATTAAGAATAATGAGAAAAATTAAACATTTTATAATGAAACACTTGTAAGTTGAAACTAATCTAACAATTCTACTAATATGGACCAAATAAGAAAACTGAAGACTGAGAGAATAATGACTGATTCAATTTTATTAGATCTTAAGGTAATAACGATTGTGTGTTTGAAAAAATAAAAGCCACCAAATCATTATTTGTAAGATGTGCAACAAAATAATTTCATTAACATTGGGATTGTGGAGATTGTGGTATCTTCGTAGTTGAATTCATGAGCCTATCTAAGCTAGATCACCACTGAAAACTTAGAAGTACTCGATGACCGGTTCGTCCCAGAATGCGACTTCTCAGCAGTAGGCGTTCACGATCTTGTATGTTGGATTCAAACCCACGACCTGCTCTCTCACGTGCAACCACTTGACCTCTAGCCGGTATCCAAAGGTGCTAATGTTTATCTTCAATCCGGATCGTCGATGCTCACTGTCGAGGAATCGCATACTAAAATGAAACAGACATTCAGTGCTTCCAGATATTTCATCATTTATTTTGAATTTTTGTGTTTGTTTTTTGGTGTTAAACAATTAGTGAAACAAAAGGATACATTATTAGTGACCAAAGAAACTAACCTGATATTCTTTAACTAAGGATAATGATAATTTATTGGTTTGCAATGCTGCTGCCCAAAGAACATGAATAGATGTGCTTGTAACGTTTATTAAATACAGTTTCACAATAACTTCACTTAATGCTGCTTAAAAGTACAGAAGATAAATAAGATATTAGTAAATCTATTAAGAAAATAAATTTACGATCATAGTTTTGAGAACGATCAAGAAACCAAAAGGCTGGAAATGAACATGGTGATTATTGTTATGCACTTTTTAAAACATTGTACAAATGACCATACGTTTAACGAAACTGTCTAAAGAATAGTTTCATTTAGTTTTGTTTATTCGAAAAAATATATTCCTTATTGAAAACGATCAAGGAGTGGGGTTTAAAAATTGAAAAAAAAAAAAACTAACAATGTCTGCTACGTTTGATACATGTCTTAGTTTAAGAATACCTATTCGTTTGATTAGGAAATATAAGAGGATATCTAATATTAAGTACATAGAAAATATGAAATACAAACTTTCGTTAACTCTGTGAACTCACATTGAATCAGTCATTGATCAAAGGTTAGTTTACTGCTTGTTACAGTCTACAAATGAATGTTTTCCTAAATTTGCTTAATTCGCTGAATGGTATACTGACATGACGCATTCTGTATTGATGGGTTCCGTTTAAAGAACTTTGAAAGTAGCAAATGCATATAGTTAGTTATAAAGTATGCGAAATTCTTTTCAATAAAATTTGTACTAATGAACATCAAATCCAATGGAACAACTCAAAACATGTCTCAATGTCTCATCCCTAATCAGGATTATTTATTTTAGTTAAATGTTTTAGCTTATTATATTTTATGTCCTATCACTGATTTCATGCGTTTATTCTTTTGTGTGAATCCTGTTGCATTTTTGGGAAAACTTATATATTGATTGTGTCAGAAAACATCAGACTTTCGGAAGCTCTCTGAATACCTGTTTTTGTTTATGAGCTAACACAATTTCGGTAAAACGTGAAAAGCCACAAAAATCATTTTTACAATTGTTATGTTATTAAGTGTTTTAAAAATATAAATGTAAGGTGTAAATGACTATAAATGATGAATGAAAGACGCATTACAGTCACTTTTCTGCATATTTGTGGATGTCGTTAGTAAATAGTGTAGTGTATGATAATTTGTTGAACGAGATGGCAGCTTAAAATGAACACTGACTACGGTATCCAGTTGTATTCACCTGAGTTCTTAACAGTGTAAACAAAATACATCCTAGACCACACTGCTGTCCACTAACAAAATAAAATTGAGTATGTCGGCCAGAAACATTATTACGAAAATTGTTCTAATGAAATTTCGCTCATCGTAAACAAAAACCGAAGATATATATATTTTATATAACACAGGATCTCAAATATGAACTCCAATATAATAGCAGCACTTGATTAGTGCTTTTTATTCATGCGAGTTTAGTTGTTTTCTATCTGGAAAGAGTTTATTATAGAATAAAATTTCTCTTGGAAACCTGCAAATGAAAGTACTAATCAAACTCCTATACATACATCCAACACTCAGTTAAAACAAGAAAATTAATTCACAATTTGATAATCACTTACTATTAGATAAATGTGACATTGAATAAAAAACAGAATTAGATTTTTTACTCCATCCAAGATAATTTACTGAAGATAGACTGATACAATATGAACCAGACTGAAGGATTATTGACACATTATATATTGTATACATACAACGATCATTTATTGGATTTCTAATAGTTTCATTTAAATTTATGACACTGAATAGTTCCCATTCTTCATCCGTGATTATTTCACAATCTGTAAATGAGATAAATTAGAAAATAATAATCAAAAGTTTTGTTGAGTAAAAAGCCTAGGTGTAATTCTCGGGGTTTTAGAGAGAAGTCATGGCCATTTATTAGACAAAACTCAACACAAGGCATTGGTAGATGATCACACAATATCGTAAGTCACACGAAGTTAAATGATAAAACTGTTGAGTCCCGGCTAAGTGGTCAAGAGGTTTGCTGTCAGCTCGTGAGATCAATGGTTTCCGGTGCGGTCCCTGTCGACATAGTTGTAGGTACGCTATCCCGTCTTGTGATAAAATGACTGTTTGGTGCTCCCTGGTTTCAAATTGTAATCTAGCTAAGATCGATTCATGAGTTAAACCACGAAAATTCTTCATTCATCACAAAATCATGTACAAATAAAAATGATTTCGTTAAACGCGTCATTGTAAACATCCATAAAGTACTTTTCAACATTTCCTAATCGGTTGTGATTAAGGTTATTGTTTAACGACTATCACTTATAAATTACTTTTAGGGAATAATCACACATTAGGTTCACTAATAGTGAGCACATTGATCAGTATTTTTTCGATAGATAGCATAGATGTATTTGGTAAATGTTTCTTTTGACGTGAAGTGAATCCCCTTGAATATTCTAATTCTGAATAGGTAATTTTGAATAATATTCAAGTTAACTTATCTATGTAGTGACTGACTTCATGTAATATTGTAGCGAACGAAGACTTCAGTAGGATAAACCAGTTTATTGTTTAATGTGAAATTACACAGTGGTGTGGTAAAACATGAAAATCACACAACAAATAAATCATTCGCACAACTTCTTTGGGTTGTCCTTTACCTACAACTTTGTTCCTCTAATTCTGTTGTTATTTCGATTGCTCTCCGATTTCTCTTGTGTTTTCTATAACTCCGTCTTCTGCTTCCGAGCATTCCACTTCTGATTTCAGTTGCATACTACTTATATCTGTCAGCAAAAGTAATATACACTACAATAAATCTCGATAGGTTATAGACGATTCATAATCTGTTGAATCATCTGGTTCACATTTAAACTAGTTGTTTTCTACAATACTGGACAATCGTCTGGGTATTTCACAAAGTCGTATTAGATAAAAATGTGAATCACTGAATCCCGCTTGTGTAAATAAATTATATTTTGTTTTTTGTAAAGAGATTTGAAAACTTTGATTTTGTTCTATTCTCAATTCTTTAGTGTTCTCAGGAGAGCAAGTTCAAACGTAAACAAAACAAATATATAGTCTGGTATTATTTAAAATCTTAACTCCCTATTACTTATTATTGTTAAAAACTCACTTCACCAGTCACATTGTCTTATTTGATATAGGAAATGTAACGGAATTACAGAATGCATCATTAAAATTAAACACCTCTTTCAATTTTAAATAAGTAATTCAACATCTTACTACTGTTTCTGATTTTGAGCATATTTCTATATCTCTCTCTGTATATATGTATATACATGCATGCATTCTACTAAGTAATGTGACAAAAATATACCGAATTTCTGTTTAAACTTTGATACATACATGGCCGTTCAGACATGGATCACTAGAAACCCTATTCTTATCATACCCATTTAACACAAAAAAATATTTCGGCTAGCACGAAAGTTGTAACATAACATTCCCATATGGATTAGTGTGATTATTCTAACCCAATGCGTGTCTAGAGTAATTATGATCACTTTTTCCATTTCTTTTTTATTCTAATATAAAAATATTAGTTCAACAAGATTTGATAAGGGGTGTAGAGTTAGATTAAACGGAGAAGTAAAGAGTATTTTTGAAGTTCCGACTACATCAATTTAAATTTTTTTTAAATACAAGAGCTGCTTAAAGAATAATTGATTCCGAAATATATGGTTGTAGATCTTGACCGAAATCGCTTTTATCAAATATTTAACCCTTAAAAATTCAAGTTCGATGCCTACATATTCCTCATTACATTCTCAATTCTTTACTGACTCTGTCATTAGTCAAACAAACAAAAAAATCGATCTTGATTTCATGTGTATTATTAGAAAATAATGATTGAATACAACCGATTATGAACATACTCTTTGAACAAACTCCAATGTAAAACCGTTTACCGTAAACTAACAATGTGTCTTCAACAGAAATCAAATGAATTGAATGATATCATCATCAGAGATATCAAATTAATAATTTATAGGTGATTTGAAAAGTATTTTTAAATGTTCATATAGACGAATTCATTCTGTATACAAATGATGCATATGAACTAAGTTCTCTTAATTCTGAATAAACAATGACCAATTGGCGAGTCATTTAATTCTTATCACAGGTTACATAAGCAAATAAATAAGGATAAAGAGAAAAATGAATACAATTGTGACAGGATTGTTACGTGAAGTAGAAGGTTTTCATAAAGAATGAGTTAATAGAAGTTTCATTTAGATAACAAAATGAAACGGTCTTATGAGAATGTGACCTGCGTTGTATGTTAGGCACTAACTATTAAAACACAAAAGAGATTTAGTGAAATGTGTTCAATATCTTTAAGAGCTTTACTTCAGTTCAGTATCCGATTTATTCAAATGGGCTCGTCATTAATCCAGTTATAAAGGTTCAATATCGGAAATATAATAGTCGTAATATTGATCGTAATGCTAAAGTGGTAAACACACTGGTGAAAATTGGTCCGAATTTTTTTAAAAAGAGGAAACTTACATTAAATGTCATTCTCTAAATATTTATTGATCAGTATGTCACGATTGCTCTGTGTTTGGTTTCTTTAAATTTTGGTCTCAATAACAGTAGTTTTCAATTGTTATGACTTGTAGTAAATCATTCTTTTAGATAAACGTTTGTTAGACACCTTATAGATTGCTAATTCCTGTTTATTTTAGAGTAACTCCAACTAACGTCGCCTATATAAACTTAGATTTCAATTATTCTTAATTTAAATAGTTCATTTAAATTTTCTACACTTTTGTGGACATAAACTCAACTTATTCTCACCTTAATTTTTTACTGGTAATCCTTAACAAGTTTAGTGCCACTGTGTTATAGAAACAAAATATTCTGCTCATATTATTTCAGCTCATTAATATCTGGAATTGACATTTTCAGATTAATAGTTAAATTCACGAGTTCATCTAAGCTAGATCACTATTAAAAACCTGGAATTACTGGATTGCCATTTCGTCCTACTGTGGGACCACACAACAATGCGCATCCATGATCCCGCACGCTGGTCTCGTGCGAGAACGCCTGATATCTAGACCACTGAGCCGGCATCCAAAGGTGTTAATGTCTAACTTCAATCTATCCATGATCTCCCGCAACCCTTCATCCATCGTCTGAAGAAGATAACTATCTCCACTTGACACCAAGTTGACTGTAGAGTAACTGATTCTCTTAAATGTTTAACTAAAATTCCTTAACAAATGATTAACAGGAATATTATGCTCAAGTATATGTTTCTTTAAGTCAAGTCTATTTCTTAACTGTACATTTTAAAATTTATAAATTGTTTACATTGATTCGTTCAGAGTCTTAACTTCATATCAACCAAACATCTTAAATTCAAAAGCCATATAGATAAGAGGTTTAAGCGGATTTTAAATAAACACGAAAGTATTAAAAATTCTAATTCATTTATTTGGTATAATCGGTTATATGTCAGTGTCTATGTTACACTGATCATAAAGAATGATTATTATTATTATTATTATTGTTATGAAATGAAATTTTAATTTACTTTGTTTTCCCAAACTATGTTGATTGGGTAATTTATGAATAAAAATTGCATAGTGAGTTATTTTCAGCTGATGTTTTGCTTGTGGCTGTCTCCATGACAGTTGAACTCCGATGTCATGAATATCATTGTTATTATTATCATAGTTACTAGTTTCAAATCCATTGGTAACAGACAGATCAGTCGGTGTTGTCGGGAGCGAAACAACCTTAACACAATTAGTAGAAATATAAACCGGAATTAATAATCTGACTTTTGTTAAGCACTAAAATATAAATAATGAAATGACTGACTAGACAATTTATTTTCAACTCACATTAAAATACAGATATCACAGAGTTGGGCAACATCAGCTATTCGCTTCACTAGAAACCCATAATCATAGATGCAAAGTAAACAAAGATTCAAGGCGGATGTATAACTGTAAAATGGAAGGACTGTTAAAACACATTCTAAATAGATTGTGGTTTGGAAGATATAGACTAATAGATTGAACTAAACTTTAATGATCTTATTGTAAAAACTAAGTAATTCAGTTTGAGATCCTGAAAACGTTTTACATTTGAGTAGACAGTTAAGTTTGTGGTAATCAAAGCTATATGACGACTTCAGCTTATCTATCACAGTATTGTTATCTTTCATATCGAATCATGTTTATTAAACCTTTAATCAAGTTGTGCCTAGAATTATTCATTATATACACCGGTATCTCTTATTTCCGTTATAACGAACTATAGCTCATTAAGATAACACGTTCATTATCATCGGTTATACATGTGTCATTCTCGACTAACGATATATCGTTTGCATTGTTGAATTTCACCCCTATTACTCATATATTATTCACAATGTTAACATTCTCTTATGTAATTTAAAACTTAACATAAATATCACAACCATTTGGTTCAAATACTTCATTGAAAATTTCACTACAAAGTTGTATTATTCAATCAAGTTTCCAACCTCAAAACACCAGCTTTTAGTTTACTTAACGACGTTGAGAAATCTGTTGTCCATATTATCTTTCTTCTCAATCATTAAATCCTAGTGATATTATCATGAATGAGAATAATCAGGCTAAAATCACGAATAATCAACTTCAAATAACAGTTCTTTTCAATAAATATTAGTTTCTTCAAAAATCTCTTACTTTTAATTCAGTTTTAAGAGTGTAATTACCACCAAGTGATAGGATTTCACAAACATAAAATCCTTGATGTAATACATCAACATTGTTAACGTGTAAAATCGAACCGTACTCTTTTAATCCTATCGGCGGTTTGTGTTTTTGTGGAATATCACGTGAGAAATAAGTAATAACTGGATCTATTGGTACAGACTTGACAATATTGTAATTTGTAATTACTTTTGTATTCTCTTTGGTAGTTTCATCAATCATCATGGTATTATTATTTTTCTTATATTTTTCACCTGAAAGAGTAGATTCTTTCCTTCCATGAAACCAATTAATTTCAGCAAGTGTATTTTGATCAATGTAAAATGAACACATTATTGATAAGCTTTGATTAGCAAAAGCTGTTATTGAACTTGGTAAATAGTGAACAGGTATGGTACGAGCTGTGATTGGTAAAAAAGAAGTGATTTCTATGATAAAACATTTCACAAGATACTGGCGAAGTTAGAGAATTCAAACTTTAAAGATCGAGGAAAACCCACTGTGTTATTCAAGTAGAATTAAAAACAATTCAGCCGAGTAAACTTGCTTTTTGATGCTACCATTTACTAAAGCTTACTTATTATGATTTGGAAAATACATTAGTCTACTGGATAATGGAAAGAGTATATTTTACAGTATTCAGAGATTTCATGTATGATAAGAAAGTTGCTGAAGGCTCAAAGATTGTAGAAAGGATAGTGAAATTAAGATAATTTACGAATCAGAAATATAAATCATAGTCATTAACTTCACAGCTATGTACAAGAAATGGCAATGTGGGAGTAATGGTACCGACTCGGTCATCATTATGGACTAAATAACAGAACGGGAAGAATAATGGGGTGATGTAAGATTGAGAAATTATATGCGCTAATTTTCCAAGAGGAATTGAGGCTTAAGATGGTGAATGTTCAATGACTCTGGAGTTCATTGTTTTTTTATCCTTGTTTCCACTCCGTTTGACTTTGTTAATTTTTTATGGAAGATAGTTCTGATGGAAAAGAATCGACCGGAATTTATGAGAATTCTCTGTTTTGATCATTTTATTATTTCACATTCTGAAATACTTTACAAAGAGTTCACGTTGTGCATCCAATGTAGCTTTAACATAAAAGAAAGTCAACTTATGGATTTACATAGATCTCTACAAATACGATAGCACAGCTTCAACAAAGGATATAATTTAAAAAAACCTGAGACTTTTGTTCTCGCGCGAACTTTATGCCAATATGCAAGATAACTTTTCAGGGTTTGTTGATTATTAACATGAGGGATTTTGGAGATTGTTTAATTTTCTTAGTTTATATCATGAACTCATCTTAGTTAGAATTGTCGTCTAAATCAAACAACTATACATTTATGTATTCATTTTAACAGTAATCCATTTGAAGGGTACTAAGAGATCCAAATGATCATTTCAGTAGTAGGATATCACTGAAGCTTAAAGAACATTATTTTTATTGGATACTTCATTTGGATTGATCGAAAAATACGACTAACTTACCATAAACAGTGACATAAATAAAAGCTGATTGATTTCCTAAATAATTCACTGCTTCACATTTATACAGACCAGTTGATTTATCATCAACATGATAAATCTCCAATTCATTTAAACCGATCGGTACACATGAATTAGATACTCGTTGTGTAGATCTTAATTTATCATCAGCTAACATTACATTCATATCACTCTCTTTGATTAAATATTGCTTTCTCTTGACAGTTGAAGAATAATTAGAATTTTTATACTTTTGATGTAATTGATAAATTGGTGTCCATTCATTTTCACTGGTTTCTGGAAAATGAAAAAGGGGAATCATATAATAGTTATTACATAAAATCGGGCATTATACACTATAAACATAGTTCAATTTTGTTATCCATTAAGATTTGAATTGTTCTTTTCTTTGTGTCAAACTCATCAATTCCTTTTTTTGTAGTTATAACACGATTCATGTAAACTGTGATAGAAGATTTAAATGAGTGAAGTTGGTTTTGTTGATCACATCTCTAACTGTGAAACATTGTTATTTTGAAATGACACATTAATCCACACAAAAAAATAATTTTGTGAAGAGAAAAGACTAGCAACTTAGCCGAATTGATCTTTTTGCTAGAAGAAAAAACACAAAAACAATTCATAATTGACCCTAATTTTTTTTATTTTTCCCTCGAACTTGTGAAATCTATATTGAGGTTAATCCAGTTACTTTCAATTTAATTTTGACGAAATCCTATAAATAGCTATTTACGGATCATTCAATTTTATGAATTTATTGAGGACATTTTGTGGGTATTCAGTAAAATAAAAGATCCCTATCATAAAACTAAGAAAATTCTATAGTCTTCAGTTAAATTATTGATAACGAAGAATAAAACTAGTTAGTGGTAAATTTTAAAACATGCGCAATCAAGACAATAATATATTCATCTACTCACCTTTATACCATTTAAATTCAGGTGTTGGTGCTCCATGAATAGGACAAGTCAGAACTGTTGTTGATTCTTTCAATACAGTAATATTCTCCATAATGATTTCTGAGTTGCATAATCTTGGAGCGAACGCTAAAAGGAACAATCGCACTTTTTATTATATGAATGATGATCAATGACATTGTTAGATGAGAAATGTTCGACAAATGGTCACTGCTGGTGTATTTGAATAGACACTCTTTCGGAGGATGATTTATGAAACCTTCTCTAGTTGTATACTCTAATGTGAAAATCGTACCCTGGGAAGTCACAACTGATGACTACTGTTTTGTAGATAGTTACTAATCTCATCAAACTGTCAGAAAGTTCATGATGAGAAATAACTTTTGAAAAATTATGACTAAAACACTGTTAACTGTAAAACATTTGAAAAAATATTTAGAAGTATACATATGCTTGATAGTTTACTTGACCAAGTGTTTGCCATAAGCATAAATTTTGCCTTTGCACAATATAATAAAGACTTGAAAGCAGTTAATCTAAAGATATCCCGTTCCGCTTTGCTAGA